TTCTTTTGCAAATTGTAATCTAGCTTCTTTATGGCAAACATTATGTTTTGGTTTTGGTTTACGCTTTTTCCAAACTGTGTTTTGATCTTCATGTAAGATTTGTCTCACATGTTGTACAGTTACAGGTAATTGTAAATCATCTTGAATTTGAACGTGCTGAGCAGCCGCATGACATACAATTGCTCATTTAGTACAGTTATCAAAATTGCAAATTTATATATTAAATACCAAATGTTAAAAATTTTATGAGCACTGATTTCACATTCTTTGTTTAACTTACAAATAGTAATAAAAAATTAAGTCTCAAATGTGCGTATCACCAGATCAAAATATACAAGTAAACTGAAAATAATTATTGGTGAGGCTAATTCTTTGAAAAAACTAAAAAAACTTTGTCACAAAAGGGTTTTCATAAAACATAAAAAAGAGATAAAAATTTTAGAATTAAAATGGAATTAGTAAATTAATTTTTTTTTTAGGTTGATTTTTTTTATTCTCTTCACTGTATCTTCAACTTTTTTTGTTAAAATTATTAGCAAAATATGTTTCTACAGAACCTACAGACTTCGTGCTAAGTTTCTCTGCTACAAATGCAGCAGTTGATTATTGTAATATTTCCCACAATTTCTCAACTATATTGTAAAAGAAGTTTAGGATATTTTTATATCTATAACATGCATAGTATATTTAGCTATATTCTTCATATATATATATATATATATATATATATATATATATATATATATATATATATATATATATATATATATATATATATATATCTTATACTGCTGAGTTAGGTGAGCGTGATGATGTCATACTCACCTAACGTCAAATAGCCTGCTGCCGGGGGCTTCAGTACATTCATCGACTGACAAATAGCCTGACTCGCAGTGGAGTGCTGCTACATCGACTGAGGGTTTGGTATGGATCAGCAACCTTTTCATTCATTATTCTTTGTTTTCCCTCATCGTTTTCTAAAAATGCTCACTTAATTTAGGCTAGTAAAAAAAGTGAGCAATTGCGCATATAAATATACTATAGTAGATAATATATATATATATATATATAAATATATATGTATATATATATATATATATATATATATATATATATTATATATATATATATATATATATATATATATATATATAGCTAAATATACTATTTAATTAGAAAAACACTTATCTAATTTTCTTCAACAATTTGTTTTGCTATCAGTAGGCTCATCAAGAATAATCATTAGAAAGTATATATATATATATATATATATATATATATATATATATATATATATATATATATATATATATATATATATATATATATATATATATATATATATATATATATATATATATATATATATATATATATATATATATATATATATATATATATATATATATATATATGCCGGCCTAACTGTTTATTTTTTTTTTTGACAATGTTGACCTAATTTTTTACAAAAAAAATTGATCTAATTAAAGTAATGTTATTCTTCTTCAAGCAGTTTTAGTTTTGAATTCAGAGTATTAAAAAATTAATAATATCATATTATTGTTGTTGTTGTTGTTGTTATTGTTATTATTATTATTATTATTATTATTATTATTATTATTATTATTATTATTATTATTATTATTATTATTAATTGATTCAAAATTCTTAATTTTTGGTTAACAATCATTTTAATATACTTTTAAACTATATATATTTACTTCAATATTTTTTACATAACAAAAGTATATTTAACATATATTTCCCAGTTTTTTCAACATAGTAACATTTTCCCCAGTGTTTTTAGAAATTTAAGGTTATAATAAAACTTTAACTCTCTCATTAAGATTTATTTAAAACGCAAAAGAGGACGCAGGAAGCATGGATCCTAGTTATGTTAAATAAGTTAGCTCTATCTGTTTGGCATTTTTTATAGAAACTTATTTATAAAAAACTCTTAACAAAAGCTTTCAATTTAGCCATTTTTTATACTGATTTTGGCAATTAAATTATTTTAGCTGTTGTTAGTGACAAAAATTGATACTTAATGTAAATGGAAACCATCTAGATTGTAGTGACCACGGGTGATAAAAGTATAAATGGTTTCTATTCACATATACAAATAAAATTGAAATATAAAAATGGCCATTATATCTATACAAATAATTAATTCTAAAGAGAAAAAATTTACAAACTTATGTGAGGAAAAAAAAAAAATATTTTTCTTGAGATAAAATAAAAACATAAACTTTAAAAAAATGAAAAAATTCAACATAAAAAAGTATTTAAAAAACTTATAAAAGCAATTATTGCTTTGTTATTATAACATTGAATTATAACAAATAACATGAATTACAACATTGCTTCATTTTCAATATTGTAAAAAATAAATTTTTAAATAATATTGCTTTTAGTAAATAATATGACGATTATTGAAACTTTGTTTTGGCTTTTAGAAAACAATCAACATTCAGAACATTTTTTAAACTTTCAAAAATCAGTCATAATAGAAGGAATTCAACCTTAAATTAGAACAAAATTGTTGTTGAAAATTAATGTGTTATGCACAATTGTTGTTAAAAGTTAATGTGTTATGCACTCTATTTATTTGTTTATTTATTTATTCTATTTATTTATTTGACAACTCAAAAATGTGACTAAAGAGATAACAAATAAGAAACTTTGTTATTTTGTTATTGATGTTTTTGTTATTTTGTTATTGATTTTTCTTATGTGATAGTTTCAAAGATTTAGTGTTGCAAGTTTAGATTAAAAACTCTTTTTTTAAAAAAAAAGCTAAAAATAAATTATCTCAATAAAATAAACCTTTGTTTTTATTTGAAAATTAAATCCTTGGCTTTTAGTGAATGATTATATGTAATCAGTTTTAATAATGAAAACCCAATAATCATTTTTAACAATAGACATTGGCATTAAAGTAAGCTTATCTTAAACCCACCCTTAAGTTGTCTATCAAAACAAAACATCACAACAATAACATCACAAAGTTAACAATTAGCATAACATATTACAGTAAACTCTCAATAACTCAAACCAACAAGGGATCAAAGAAGTTAACTTTTTGGAGAATGTTATTGGGATTATAATCCATAAATTAAGGCTCAACTGGAATTTAAATTAGTTCAAGTTATTAAGGGTTATATAGTTATGTAGAGTTTATTGTACATACAGTACAACTACTAACAGCATAACATACTTGTAAGTACACATTTCATTGCACAACATATTTGCCATTACACATTTTATGATTATTAGCATTATTATGTGTTTCATAATGACAGCACACTGTTTGGCTGGCAAGGACAACACTATTGCTCTCAGCAAAGCTAATTCACATTATTGCAAAGTAGACCTTTGGCTAGCAAGGACAACATTCTTGCTGTAAAATAAGCCAAGTTACATCACCTTGAAACCATGGAAACAACATAATAACCACTTACAAACTATAAACATGTAACATTTCATATATAACAGATATTTACACATTTATGACACATAAGCACTTACAAAATAAAAATCCATATAACCTAAACACGTATAAACACATAATAAATAACACACATTACCACATCATGACACATAAAAATACTTAAATATATAAATCACGAAAAATGTATAATTTAAGAACATTTACAAATACAACCTTATGAGTGTTATATTTGTTTAACGACATACCTTGTAATGCATGTTTATCAACTTTAAAAGACAAACAATCAAACAGCCTGGTATGTTATATTATAACAAACCAGGGTTGTTAGCTCACAGTGTTTAAATTATTAATTTAAAATAAAATATATATTGCTACAGAATTTATGATTGCGTTTAATTATTTTCTAATATAAAGGTTTTAGATCTTACAACTGATTAAGCAGATATTACCAGGTTATAATAAAGATAATAAAGTTTTAAGAATATCTTATTGCGTGGTTAAAAATACGAGAGGAAATATTATAAGGCGGAGCGTAATAAATCTCCTTTAAAAAACTCTGTTTCAAACACACACAAATGAGTAATAACAGCAGCGTTAAATTGAATATTAATTATAACCGATTATTATTATTGTTATTATTATTATTGTTATTTTATTATTAATATTGTTACTATTATTGTTATTATTATTTTTAATATTGCTATTATTATTGTTGTTACTATTTTGCTATTATATACTGTTATTATTTCTATTATTATTATTTTCATCATTATTAATATTGCAATGTTAAGACATTTAGATTATGATATAGATATATATGTTAAGATATATTTACTTATTACGTTTATATTTACTTTAAAGATATTTACTTTATTACTTTTACTTGAACTAATTTATTTCAGAATAGATTTGATTTGATTTAATAATGCTCAGTAATAATGCGAAATTTATTTTTTTAATTGTATCATATGCAATTCTAAGGTTTACAAAAACACTGATTTTTTACCCTGAAATTTCCACTTTTAAATGTAAAAATTAAAAATAATTCGATTTAAATTTTGTAATAATGAAAAGTTTTACGAGGTTAAAACTAGAGTAATATCCTAAAAACGTAACTAAAATCTTCTTCTAAAAACGTAACTAAAATCTTCTTCTAAAAACATAATTAAAATCTTCTTCTAAAAACGTAACTAAAATCTTCTTCTAAAAACGTAACTAAAATCTTCTTCTAAAAACGTAACTAAAATCTTCTTCTAAAAACGTAACTAAAATCTTCTTCTAAAAACGTAACTAAAATCTTCTTCTAAAAATGTAACTAAAAATCTTCTTCTAAAAAATATACCCTTTTGGTACTCTATTGCTACCCTATTGCTACCCCGCTTGTTAGCCTTTTACTAAGTTATCTAGTTTAATCAAAATTAATGAACCATTGAATTTTAAAAAAATGTAATTTGTTTGTTTGTATTTTTAAAATAAAAATTGCATATTATATATATTTTATTTACAATTAATGTTTTTATTTTTTTTAAAGTTTTTTTTTTTCAAATAGTAAATGTTTTGATGAAGTGCGAGCTTCTGTTGATCAGATTATTGTTTTGCATACAAAACTTATAAATATTGATGGCTTGCATCCAGATTCAGAAGATGAGTTGAACGTTTCTATGCTATCTACTGCAGAAAAGCGTGCTGCTTGGAGGCATTCTAGTTCAATGAGCAGATCAAGAGCAGACTCAATAACATCTTCTATATCAAGTATTTCAGTCAAGGTAAGATATTTAACACTTTTAATATTTTGCTATTAGAATGAGATTTGTGTGTTCAGTTTTAGAAGTTTGTTTGTAATTAAATTTTTTGATAAACAATCACTTAATTAAGCAATTGCAATTTCTTAATTAATTAAATAAGTTGTGGTTAGAGTGGTTAGAGTGCTTGCTTTGTAAACAAGAAATTCTTAGTTTGATTCCTATCGCATTTCTGCAGTAGTGATTGCATTCTGCAGTTCTGCAGATTAGTACTGTGCTCAGCTTGTTTTTCTCCACAGCCATTTGTCAAGACTTGTGTTTTGAAGTTAAAGGGTTGTGAGAGAGTTGTAACCACAGTAACCACAATTAAAGTGATAAAGTTAAAAAAAAAAACATTAGTTTTTTAACTACTTAACTGTAGTGCCCCCCTAGGTCTTTTTTGTCAAGTAAGAACCAATCCAAGGTGAAATTATTTTATATTAAATTGAACTTAGCAAAGCGTTCACCATGACAACTGTTTTTCTTAGAATAAAGTTAGAAACATTTGACTTTAGAAAAACATCGGTTTTTAATGCAACTGTTGAAAAACTCGTTTTAAAAGCCAGAGATTGGCTCACAAGATAAAGCAATATTTCAATCAAAGTTTGCAACATCTATGAAAATCTATGAAAATAATTTTTTTTTTCAGTGACTTCTGCAATAGAATTACTTTGGACAAACAAAGTATGTTTGTTAAAGACTAGATCAAACCATGTTTTAGTGTTACATTGATAAGTGTTTTACTAATCAATTATACCTTAAAATTTTTTGAGTTAATACTAATTAACTTCAAATAAATGATGGTAAAAAATGGAAATAAATATTATTGATGCAACTTCATGTTTTATGTTAACAACTAAACTGTTTTCATATTGAAAATATAAAATAACTACAAAATAAGTTTATTATTATATATAAGAATGTTAAATACATATAATAGTGTTCAGCCCTTGGAATTGGGTCAGCATTCAGCAACATAACTGCCGACCCTAAAAGTGTTTGAGGTCTGCAAAAAATTGCTGGCTTCGTTTCTATGTTTTATGATAACTCCTTTGTATCAAAATATTTTGGCCAACTTGATGCTCAGGGTTCATGGCACTCAGGGAAAACCTGGAAAACCAGGGAAAAGTTTTAAAAATTTAGAAAATCAGGGAATACCTGGAATAGTCAGGGAATATTTGTTAAAAATCTGTAAAATCAGGGAAAACTCAGGGAATTTTGTTCAGTATTATATTTAGCTTGAAGTTATTTTGCAAAATACACATTTTGAGTGTTTATTGTTGTTGAAAATTGCTCACTAAAGTGTTTTTTTAACTTTTATATTATATAGTAACTATATGTTTAGCTAAATGTATAAATAAATATAATAATATAAGACATAACTTCAGAAAAGACTTATTTTCAAGAGGATTGGTTACAACAAGATATTTATAAAGATTGGTTAGTTCCCAACGCACATGCAAAAACTAAAGCTTATTGCAAAAAATGTAAAAAATCATTTGAATTGTCCAATATGGGTATTCAGGCTGTTAAAAGTCATGCAGCAGGTATTTACATTAACTTTTTTAACGTGAGAGTGAGAATTAAAAAAAAAATGTTGCTTAATTGATTCATTATTTTATATTTTAATATCAGTTTCAAACACATTGTAATCAACTTTTGATTGCAACCTGTTTCAGTTGTTTTCCTTGTTGGTTGGTTGCTAATATTGTAATTTCAAACTTTGCAAGCTAAACAGATTGAGAAAAAAGATAAAAAATTTTAGACATTTTAAATGTTTCATTATTTATTTATCTTGTTTTAGGTAAGAAGCATCAGTCTGCTACAAAGCCTGTTAGTTGTTTCTTTATTAATGGAAAAGAGTTGCATGCTGAACCACTTGGAAGTGAGGAAAAAATATCCACATTTTTCACCAAAAAACAAGCAACTATTGTCTCTTTAATTAAATCATCGTTATCAACTAATGCTGAGATCATATGGGCCCTGAAATCTACAATGAGCTGCTACTCTAATAACTCATGTGCAAATTTAAATGACACTTTTAAAAAGATGTTTCCTGATAGCAAGGTAGCAGAAGATTTCACTATGAGCACCTCAAAAGTATCATACATTGTTAACCATGGACTAGCCCCATACTTCAAGACACTTTTGAAAGAAGAAATCACAAAGTCTGATTGTTACATTGTATCTTTTGATGAGAGTTTAAACAACATAACCCAAACTTGTCAGATGGATCTACTTGTTCGGTATTGGGATGACAATGACAAAGTTAAAGTGAGATATTGGACATCAGCATTTCTTGGTCATTCTGCAGCTTCTGACCTTCTTACACATTTCAATGAAAACTTATCAAGATTTGATTAAAGTAAAATGTATCAAGTATCCATGGATGGACCCTCTACGAATCTGAAATTTCTAGATGATCTTAATAAACACAGAAAGGACAACGAGATGCCACAACTTATAAATATTGGAAGTTGCTCTTTGCATGTAATCCATGGTGCTTTTAAAACAGCTATCGAATCAACAGCATGGAATATTAAAGAAATTTTAAAAGGGTGTTGGCAAATTCTTCATGATAGCCCAGCTAGACGTCAAGATTATGAAACAGTCACAGGTGCAACAAAATACCCTCTTTTTTTTTGCGGAACAAGATGGGTTGAAAGTAAATCTGTTGCAGATCGTTGCATTGAAATCTGGCCTAATATATGTAAGTTGATTGAGTTTTGGGAAAAGTTACCATCTTCGAAACAACCTAAATCAAAAAGCTTTTTTAAATGTAAAAAAGGCTGTTAAAGACAAACTTATTATTCTAAAATTTGAAGTTTTCAGCTTTGTTGCAAGCATATTAGAGCCATATTTGTTGGCATACCAAACTGACAAACCAATGATTCCATTCATGTATAGTGACTTAGAAAAACTGTTACGAACCATACTAAGCTTGTTTGTGAAACAAAATGTTATTGATAATAGTTGTATTTCAGTACAACTAAAAGAAGTTGATTTTCATAAAAAAGATAATCTACTTAAAGGAAATCCAATCAAACTAGGGTTTGCAGTTGAAACAAGACTGGCTGCTTTACGAAAGAAAGATATAATAACCATTGCTGATATTCAAAGTTTTCACAAAGATTGCACTAACATGTATGTTCAATTGATTGAAAAGTTCACGGACCGAACTCCACTAGGATCTATCATTATACGCAACTCTCAGGTTCTTAATCCAAATGCAATGGTAGTAATGACTCAAGAAGATGCTGAGAAGAAGTATAAATCTTTATTGACCCACTTGATTAGCTTGAAATATGTTTCACCAATCTTTTCTGATAAAGCTATAAATCAATTTGCAGATTTCTTTAGAGAATCAAGAGTTTATCAAGATATCGTTCATGAGTTCAATCGAGAAAGAGATAGCTTAGATGACTTCTATTTTAAAAAATTTAACCTAAATAAATATAAAGAATTTGCATTGGCTGTTAAAATATTATTAACACTAAGCCATGGACAAGCCTCAGTTGAGAGAGGTTTTAGTATAAATGCCACAGTACTAGAACAGAATTTAAATGAAAAATCAATAACTGCAAGACGTTTAGTCAAAGATCATATGCTATCAAATAATCTTCAGCCACATAGTATTGAAATTACTAGCAAAATGATCATTAGCGTAAAATCGGCACACGAAAGATATAGAAGCTACCTAAATTCAATCGCAGATACTAACAAAAAAGAAGCAAGTCAATTGGCAAAAAAAGTTGTTAGCGATGAAATAAAAGATGTTGAAACAAGGCCAGATCAACTGAAGAAAACCAGTGAAATGTTGCAGTTTGATTTTGTAAAATTTGTGGAGGAAGCAGAGGAGAAGCAAGATCTAGGGTTAATTTCTAAAGCTAATGCGATGAAACAAAAAGCAAATGAAAAAAATGAAGAAATAAAGAAATTAGAGCTAGCACTTTGCATCTTAGAGCAAAAAAGAAAAATGCTAAAATAATATATTCGTTCTCACATGAAGTTTATATTTTATTAACAAAACACATTAGTTTTTTCAAAGCATATATAAAATGTTATTTTTTTAATATTTCTTTTAGTTATCAGATTAATATGGCTCTGTTTCTTGTTTAAAACACCTTTAACAGATTGCTATAAATTAATTAAAGACAGTCTCTGATTTCTTAAAAAATAGTGATAAAAAGTATTTAGGGAACAAGGATTCAGTTGCAATAGTATTATATTTTTCAACATTGATAGGCAAAATATTTAGACTTTTCACCACACAAACTCAGGGAAAAAATACTTGAAAATCAGGGAAAATCAGGGAAAACTCAGGGAAAATGGTTTTTCAAAACTGCCATGAACCCTGATGCTGATGTCTAACAGTTTGAGGTTGGCAATTGATTGCCAACCTCATTTTTCCTGATTCCGAGGGTTGAGTGTAAGAATATTTATATAAATGTAAGAATATATGTAAGAATCTTTATTATTATATATAAGAATAAATGTATATGCAAACAAACCATTTAAGCACTATTGCACGCTGTTAGTTGTTCAACTAAAAAGAATCGACTGTCTTTTTAAAAATCTGTTTACTATGTTTACTATTTTTTTATTACTGATTGAATTTTGACAAGTTTTTTTATGTTTTACTTTGTTGCCATAATTTTTGTTTGTTTCAGTTTTGGTTGTTGTTTTGTAAGTCTCCTGTGTTTGGTTGTCGTGTTAGCTTTGTCTCTTGTGTTTTAAAGTATCAGGCTTAATGGTAGTAGTATGGTTATTAATATCTTCATATGACACACTTTTTCCTGGTTCAACATAGTGTTTAGAATGTTTAGGTCTACAACTTAGTTCTACATCTTTGCCAAACCCCAAAGATTCAAGCAAACTAACTACAGAATTGGATATTTTTTTACATTTGTTAAAGAATCAAGTTCTCCAGGAAGTGGTGCATTAGGCATGCAATAAAGAACTGCATTTTTATCCAGTGGCATTAT